TATTATTATTATTATTATTATTATGATTATTATCATCATTATTATTGTGTAAAATACATTGAAAACACGATGGGACTTATCTCAGCGAGTCCTCATGGTCCCAGAAATATTTGGCACGCGGTGACAATGCATTTGATGCAGTGTTTTCCTGTTTTTTTTTTTTTTCTCTCTCTTCTTTTTATCCACTTGTACAGAGTATTTTGTAAGTATTATTAAGCTGGATTAGTATTAAATAACATTGACACGTTACGTCAAATGATGAAAATATTTTTCACTGTGTTTGAATTCTTCGTCATAAATTTCGCTGCGAGTTCTGTTTTTTGATAAACGTCAATGTTTTTATCTGTCTGTCCGTCTCATGATGCATTAGAGTTGCGTTTAATTCGAGTGGAAATCGATATTTCGTTTCACGAATATAGCACGTACCTGTGTCACGTATTTTCATCTGTTTCAGACATTTACCGCGCGCAAATTACATCGGTTCGTACTGTGCGAATGTGTATCCGAGGCATTGGAAAAAAGTTTCCTTTACCGTACTCCTATTCGTTTCACTATTGTAAAATGTCACAGAGCGGTCATGATGTTGCGTGCAATCGATACACCAAATAGTCTAATGTTTTTGATAACGTTATCTATAGATAATGAGAATTGTACATTAGGTAAAATACCGTGGTAGGTTTTATAGTTTTTGCAGTACATTATTTATTATATTAGAGGGAAAAACGTCTCGAATGTCGATTAAACGAGGTGGTACTTCAGTCGGCGCGTGTTACCGCCGTACGTGTCGAGGTACCATTCTTTTTAGCCTCGTTTCTGCGATTCGCGGACAACGTGTTGCCAAAACTTTAGTAACATTAACGTTTTAATGTTACAAGGGGAAATCACGACGAAAACAATTCGACACCGATAACCTGGTCGCTAGAGAAATCGAACTGATTTATCACTCGTGAAGTTAGGGTACCGCTTCTTTTTCAAACCGTACTACAACTTTCGATAATTTCGTACAAGTCCACCCTTATTTATCTTATCGGAATTTTACTCGCTAAATGGTACGCTACGAATCAAAGGAATTCTTTTAGATCAAGGGCATTACTAGAAATCGCAGGATAGTTGCATACCCTGATGTTAGATTCAAATCATCGGTACATCGTTTACGTTATTGTTAACTAGCCAATTTTAATCGGTCATTCGAACCATAAATTTGTATTAAACCGTACTGTCCTTTGTTAGTCGGATATTAAGCGTTTAAACGCCGCTTCTCTTAAAACATTTCATTCGAACCAATGCCAATGAAGTTTTATGGAAAAGCATGTTCGAGTGGCCTACGCATGAAGCACATGTCAGAAGATACTTTTAACTCTGTCGTTTTTTAATTAAGATAATGGATATGCCACGATGTGATACGCAGTTATAGCGACGAAAATAGTTACGTGAAAGAGATTTTCTGAACATTTACAGAACATTTGCATTGTCATATCTGTTGTTTTTGATTGTTACAGTTTTCTCGTACACGTATATGTGTATGTGTATATATATATATATGTATACGTAAATATATGTATATATGTATACATATATATATATATATGTATAGAAAGAGAGATAGAGAGAGAGAGAGCGAGCGAGAAAAAGAAAGAGAGAGAGAGAGAGAGAGAGTGTTATATGATATTCGTGTTTTGGATGTGTGCGCTATTCTTTTCTATTTTTACTTTTTCTCGTTTTGTAGATATTACTCGTGTTTCGTAGGCGAAATTGTATATTTTTGTTTGTTGCATGCTTGAGTTTTAACTAAGTGTTAAGTTTCTGTGGGGTGTCAGACGTGTCTAAATAGATGCGTGCATTCATCAAAATAAAGTGGTCCCGAGAATTCGCGGACCGCTGAAATAGACTAATATTGTATAAAGATTATGCACAATTACGCGAAATGACGTTTCAAAATGATTATCAAATGTAAATAGTAGATAAGAGAACGTGCATATAATTAATCTCATGACTTTCGGAAATATAGTACAAGACAGCACTCCTGAATTGATATGCCATTCGGTGTACATTTATACGTTCAGTGTACATTTAATAAGTACCTTGGTGACTAATAAACATCTCATATAACTGTGCCTCTATAAAAATATGTCACGATACTTTCTATACTGAAAAAAGGAAAAGAAATCCGATACAATTTATCCCCGGTACGTATAAGTGAGGAATATCAAGAATTCTTTTTTTATCGTGGTGTATTTTGTAATTATTTCATTTTCGATACTCACCTCCCTTCCCTGGAACATGTCGTCGATGCTTTTTATTAAACTTCCCACGTATAGCGAGATAGAGATATAGATAGAGATAGAGATAGAGAGAAACGAATCCTGCGAAAGGTAGAAGTAGTTTTCCAATCGAAATCTACTAAAAGCTCTTGTAATTAGTAACGCATACCACATTACAGCAGTTTATTGGGTCTTGTGTAATATTTCGTACAACAGTGTAACAGAGTAAAATTCCTTACGGATCTCCATACATTGACCATCTTCGTCGCGGTATCGTCGTATAATTAGACAAATAATATCCGATTTCCGGCGATCTGTCCTCAACCCGTGCTTCTTTCGCTGATCGTGCAACGACTGGTCGTGTTTTAGAGTCCTTTATGCGAAACATTGTAGTTCCATCTCCATGCCTGACATTGTAATTATTATAGGAAGCATAAAAGGACGAAATAACTTAGTATCCTGCCAATTCAGCGAACGTGGAGTCCATCTCGTCAGCGAGCGACTTGTATCTGTCCTTGTTGATGCCCAATTCGTCTGGAAAATTTCATAAGATGCTTGAATTTCTTTCATATTTTCCCCTCTTCATATTTCTTTATCACGACTCTTTTTACAACTAATCAATAACGGTCCTACGTATTTTCTACTTGAGTTTTATGCGTTTGCCCGGTAAACAGTCGCAATTCGTTCAGAATTGCAGACGTTTCGAGTAACTCGGTTTAACGAGCTTTCGTTTACCGGTCAAGCACGGATCGGTACACTACTCGTTTTAATGAACCTAAAGTCCCAGTTTGGAATTAACGTGAACGTAGATATCATCGTTTGTTCGCTATGAAAGGAATGGTTAAACCCTAGGCAAAAAGACATTATTACATGGAAATGTTTCGATGTAGTGACATTTGTCCTAAGAAAAAAAAAAGAAAAAAAGAAAAAGAAGAAAGAAACAGAAAAAGCACACTTTGTAGCCTGGTCAAAATTTAAGAATGTCGTACAACGTGGTGTATTTCGGTGTGTTTGTACGATTTAAAACTGTACACAAAAAGCATCGTGTAAAAGCAAACATTAAACGAAGCGTTAATACTTTATCAGTTTACTCGAAGCATGCAAGAATCGTGAGGTGTAGTATACCTTTGCACGAGTGTAAGGCAAACAGTTTTGCGAGGGTTGGCAAATGTACCTGACGTACGACGGCCCACATAAACGTGCGAAGCTTTTTTTTTTTTTTTTTCTTAATTTTATTCTGTTAAGCGCCTTGTGTGCTCGCGTGTTCGTGTTCGCGTATATTAATAGACAATGTGAACGATAAATACTAATTAATCTATTTTTATAACATAAAGAGAAAACTAAGCAAAGCGTTCCCAAATCGGACGATTGAAAGGACAACGATCGAATAGCAAATTAAGGGGGGAAAAAAAGAAAGGACATTACAAGAAAATTAAGTCGAACGAACAGATCTTTGAAGATGAGCGATGATCGATGAAAAAAAAATGAATCTGTAAACACAAGAAAAAAGCAGAAAAACATAAAATGCATTTTTAACGTCTTCGTTTAGAGGGATTTCGCGGTAAAAAGAATTCGTCGCAACGAGGATCAAAAATACGCCCAATTTTGGAAGCTTTTGGAGCAGAAAAGAAAAAAGAACAGCTAAAGCGGTAAAGTATCCTTGAAACGGACAGGATAACGAGACAGAAACGGCTATAGAAATGTTTCGTGTATAGGAATAAACGAGAAAATTTGAA